TGGCTGTAATTTGGTAGTCAAACAAAGCGAGATGCAAACTTGTATATTTATGTCTATACAGTCTGATCAGTTGCCAGTGCACTTTCCCCTTTTCCCCTTTCCCCCTTACCGCTTTTTCGCTTTTGCCATTATTTTGTTTCGTTTGTGTTGCTTTGGATATTTGTTGTTTCTCTTTAGTTTCTTGTTTAACTTGTTGTACAATGCTTTTTAGTTTTTGCGTAATTCCAAACTTTTAGGCAGGCATCTGGCATTCGTTGCATTGTTTTGCGAAAAGTTTTTTTTTTTTTATTTGCTGCCAGAAGGCAAGAATACACACACACACACACAACATGAATATTAAGATGTGTATGTATATAAATATGTAACTCTTTGAATAGATAGTCAGTTGCACAGTTACTTATTTACTGTCAGCAGCAGCAATTTTGTTGATTTGGATCGCCTCTGGCGAAAAAGTGCTTCAACGGAACTTTACAGACTTTAGCTCTCTCTATGGGAAAATAGCAAGCAGAATTGATTAAAATAACTAGGAATGAATTGAACTAGTGGGAATTTATGGCATGTGTAGAGTGCAAGAAATTTAAGGATTTACTTAAATAAAGTTCACATATCGTTGAAAACCTACTGACCAATAAGCGATAAGTATCGATAGTAATACAAGTCAAAAATATATATATTTTGCTGTAAAAGCTTTGCATAATACTTTTAAAATTTGGAAATCCACTAGCTTGTCTAGAGTTTCTCAAAGAATATAGTAACATTCAAAGTTTATTGCTATCGATGATAGAGAGTTTGGAATTTCTTTAAAGAGAAAAAACGAGGGTTAGATATTTAAAAAAAAAAAAAAAAATTTTCCTGTCTGAGTAGAAAGATATATTTTAATATATTTATAAGGAGACCTTGATATAACGTAATATGTCCAATATTTTGTTGAGTAAAAAGAGTACATATCTAATATTATAAATTCTAAACATAAAAATCATTAATAAAAATAATACTTTTTATCGATAAATATCGATTTACAATTTCCAATTTTGTGCATTTGTTGCATATCGTCAGCTTAGAAAAATTCTGGTTCTTGTACCAATAAAATCCAAATACATATATTACGAAATTTACTTACTTTTATGGAGAAAATTGTTTTTTTTTTTTTTTTACAGCCGATGTAGCATATTTCATGCATTTCTCTGAGAACTCTTGACTCACGTTTTTGATTTGAATATCACGTATTTGGCTTTAGTGAGCTCTTGGTTATTCACAAGGATCACATGTGAATACGATTGGTATTAAATGGAGGTTCAAGTGAAAATTATTCACTCCTTGAAGTGGCAATCCACGAAAGCCTCAACGAGCCGTTGATTGACTGAATGTTGAGGCCAAAAGTGCCAGCGACAGGCGGCGCACAATGCGGCTAAGACAAAGCGCCAATGGAAAGCACTCAGCGCTCAAGCACAATTCCACCCGCACTCGCCTCTTCGTCGTTCGTCTGTCGTCTGCCCAGACTCTTCTCAAGTCAATGAATGAAAATTTCCTACGCAGCAGAGATTGATGACGCTCTTGAAACGATGCCACTAGAGCTTCAGCTTCAGCTCCAGCTCCAGCTTCTGGTCCAGCTGCAGCTGGTGCTGTGCAGATTCGATTACTTGTGCTCGTACCCGTACCACGCCACTCGTTTATATATTCAGATAGTCTGTCTACTCAGATATATGGCCAGTGAGTGCTCCACTCCTTGCGAGTTGATTAACCATCAGTAGCTGAATGGCCCTTTCCCCAGACTTTGTTCGCTGTGCATCGCACTTAACCAGCATTTTGTTATTTTGACATCGAGCACATGGCCAGTGGGTTGCCCAACTTGGCTTGAATGTTATTACCGGAATGTGCACAAGTGCGGCCGAGTAAAAAATTTGCATACCAAGCAAAGTGGTTGACAAAAAATAAAAATGAAGCGAATAAAAGTTACCAGCCAAAAATGTTCATCGTTAAATGCTCTGCGAGTGGCAACGATGCCCATTCGACTGTTGGCCATAAAATGCCTCAACGACGTGATATATACCCTCCTGATTATTTACATACTTATATATTCATATATATGTATGTATGTCTGTGCTTCTCCGTTGAAAGCTTTTTCCCCCAGTGAGGCATTTTTCTTGTACTTTCTTTTACATTTTTTTTTTTTTTTACTTGAGCAATTTCTTTGAAATTAATTCTCTTGGTTTTGTAATTTTCATCCAGATTGACCTCGTGCTTAGGCATTTTATTGTCATGCGGCAAAAGTGAAGCTGGGCGCTGCAATTTATCAGGTTTAACCACAAATTGCAGTCGCTTTTTCACTTTTTTACAGCAACTTTTTCTCTGGGTCTTTTCGCATTTCTTTTTCATTCTGTTTGTGTTTTTGTTATCTTTATCCTCTCTCATTTACTCCGATTAGGCTACTCTGCAGTATCTATCATGTCCTCTCTCTTTCTCTCTGCCTCTTTAATCGCCCTTTTTCGATTTACTCTTATCGAGGTTTCTATTTCTCTCACTCCTTCCTTTCAGTATGCTTCAGTCTCTTATTGTCTCTCTCTTTCTTTCGCTTTGATCTCGATTTTGCTTTCTATATAAGTCTCGATCTGTCCTTTTTCCTTTTTAGTGTCTGTCTATCTCTCTCTTTCTTTATCGATCTAATTATTTCCCTTGCTCTCTTTTTCAACACACATATTTCACGTTTTTCCAAACACAAAAGCTCTCGAAGATAAATTTGAATATAATTTATCATCACAATCAAAGAACATAATTTATTTCTTTCGCAACTATTTATTATTTCAAATTACGCGAAAATCTAAAAGTTTGACAATGGAAAGTGCAAAGCACTTTCCTTTTTGTCTTTCAAGGAGCCATTTGTCAGCTTTGCATCTATGGATGACTGCCATTTATTTGTACCACAAGTTTTGCTCATGTTTCACAGACTATCAATCAGCACAATCTAAGACAACAAAAGTTTTTGCCGCCCCCACTCTCGCTCCTCCATACACAGTCCCCGACGGCCCATAACGACCGCCAACTTCTCGGCAAGCAATAAACATTCGCTCATGTTTAATGTGGGCTGACTGTGGAATTTCTTTCAAATTCAGGCCAAAGAACATGGGACGTAGCTGTCGAAGCAGCTGTCATATTTACATATCTGTGGATCCTCTCACATTATTTGGCATTTGATACTGACAATGCTCTCTTGTATATATTAAATTAATGGAATGTCGATGTGGCAGTCGACGGCGATGCCAAAGCCGAAGCCGTTTATGTGACTTTACTTTGCCGTTTATTGAATCTATGACATCTCACACGCTGCTCGGGACAGTTGTTGCTAAAGCTGTGGCCCCCAAGGACCTTGATAGACCTCTACATGGATTGAATTTTCAAATCGAATTTAAATATGAATTGCGGAGCACGAGTGTTGAAATTGACATCTTATATACTAAATCGAATGTGTAAAATATAACAATGCTTAGTAATATTTGCATTTGTATTATAAGAATTCATCTTATTTTATAATTATTTTTAAATTTACTTCTATTGGCTTTGGTTTACTTTTATATTTTTCAAATTAAAATCTTTTTTTTTTTATTGTACGTTTTTATTTTTATTCATTTTATTTCTAATTATCTTTAACTTCAATTTAAACTTTTAACAAATTAAAATAAAAAATAAAAAAATAAAATAAAATAAAAAAAATTTTACTTTGTTACAACATGCTTCATAAAAAATATTACTTAAAATAAATACTTATTATATA